GGTTATCTTCTATTTCATAAAATCCTGCCTTAACTGGGCAAGCAACGATGATTTTATCCAGCTGGATTTCATTGCCATACGTAACGCTTTAGCGAAAGTTCAATGATCTTTCCCCTTACCTTACCCCTTATCTTGGTAAGTACGTACTGCGTCATTAACTTGCAAATGACGCACTCTATGCGTCATAGAATTACCCATGTAACTTATTTTAGAAAAGCCAGGTTTCCTTAGTGAAGAAGTTCTTCTTCAGTGAGAGATGATGCGTATTGAATACCTCTTTCTCCTACCTGATAATCAGCCCTCAAAGAACTATCACGGTTTATCTCCATTAACAAAGTGAAGTGCACTCTCACGTCCCTCTTTGCTACTGATACAAGCTCTTCAAAGCCATGCACTTCTGGGATCTGTTCTTTACGATGTAACATTTGATGCCGCTCGTGAGCTCTGACGCTCACTGGCTGGCATTTCGTAGACCTTTCAGACAAAGGGGATCCTTTTTTCTTCTATCCTCACAGGGAATCTAAAGATCGTTGAACACTCAGCAGGAGCTTCATCTATTCTGCTGTCGTGCTGCAAAACTTCCCCGTAAGCTGGCAATTTCCTGTTGGTACCGTAGCTTATTTGTTTGTTGAGTTGCAAGTTGACAGGATAGGCAGATAATTCACAAAATGGCTGAAACTCCCATATTATCCAATCCCGATATTCACAATTACAGTAGTATTGCAGGATACACCTCCACCCAATATGATACTCATCTCTTTACCAAAACGCCAGCCTCTGTCGGCTTCTCCTTCTCAACATCGTAGGTTTAGCTCCCATAGACCATCTAGGTATCCGTCGTAGACCAACTACAAAGGGTGAGATCAACGTATAGTTCACGGTTTTCGATCGACCAGCAAGAGCACTTTAGTGGGGGGTGACTTGCCATTTATAGCCTATCTCTTCACTAAACTTGGGATAGCTACTCTCATATGATTCCATGCTATTGTTAATCAAGATGTTGTCGTTGGTCGCCCTGACGACGATCATCCACGTGGTCGTCGAGGACTAACTAGGATGGTTCAGTGAGAATGAACTTTAGTTAGTTCTACATATGACTTCATCTTGCTCTTCCTACTCATCCCAAATAAACCAACATCTCAGAAGACAGCAACTACAGCATCCATGTACAGCTCTTTTTCTGTTTTCTCTACCACTAAAGTAGCCTACGTGACCCAAGGCAAGCAACGTTTCCTAGACATATGTATGTACATAGTACTCAATCATCTATAATTGTTACCAATTAGGGTGGAGAGCGTAAGGTGTGACTTGTAATGAATGGGTGGTGTAGGCCATTCGATCAGTCCCTTATTCTCGCTTAAGGTTATTTTTACCTCAGAACAGCAGAAAGCGATCAAACTCCATGTGCAACCTTCGCTAATGAACCATGTCTTCGATCATGACAGTCGATCTATGATTCAGAGCTCATTTTTGGGCAATTCTTGAAGATGCTGGCCTCTAACGGACTTTGTGATTCCCTACGGTACACAACAATAACGGATGATGTTTTCCTGCCTAGGCACAACAATCATACCCTTTGTAGCGAGTAGTGCCAAATCGACCGTCTTGGAGCATTCCACAGACTATGCTCTCCTCGTTGTCACCCTCGCCAGATATCAAGTTCCACTGCCTCGAGCCGGGTTCCCTTCATCTCAGTACATACTGGCTGGCTGCTAAATTCAGTTGTAAGGGCAAAGATAGTGATGACCCACGCGAACATCTTTCCCACACAGATCATTAAATGAGCCTAATTTCGCCTTCTTTCCGGAAACGGCAGTCGTCACTTTGACAAGTCTGAGTAACATAAGCAGGATTTCGTTTTCCCATAGTAGGCCACAAATTAGTGAGCCTGGAGGTAGTATAATACCTGATGGAACACTATCACATGCAAGGTCCGGCATCAGATAACGTACTTGATTCCTGAAGTTCATCAGTTTTTCATCCTTTCGGGATCGATGATTGGTACCCGATATATCAGAATATGTTGATTAGTGCCAGAAGACTTTGCCATTTATTCTTCATGCCTTGTGTCCCTCACACAGGTTCACAGATAACATCCGGCAACGTCTTATAAAATAACGGGTGTGCCAACCATCAATGGGAGCTTCATGAAGTTGCAGAAAAATGCCCATCGACATCCACAACATCATATTCGATCGGTAACGAGTCGACCTCTAACTACTTTAACCGCTGGTTGGGTTTCTTTGCCACTCCAGCCAGACCCAAATGGAGCATTTCAGTGGTGACACTAATATTTAGGCAAAGGCTATGATATTTAAAGCGAATGTCTTTTGCAACTTTTGTTATATGTTAGCGGTGACGGTTCTGCGAGACGTAGAACTTCAAAACGCGATGATATGCAACTGTTTCCTGTCCAGGAAAGAAGTTACTTACTAATCGTTTCTAAACTTATTATTAAGGCTGGTTTATGAAGGAGAATCTTAAATTTAGGCGTATCTATGACAACCAGGTAAATGAATTCCTTCTCTTGTCTCGTTCAAACTAATCAGCTATGATCAACTCCTAGTAACATAACAATTTGGGTGGGGATTCCATGTGGAGCTTCTCTGAAGCCTTATGTGCTCTGCATTAATGTATTACGTCGCAAGGTGGTTCGAGCATTGTATTCATGAATCAATCCCTAGTAGAATAACTTACTTCTTCTAAATTACTGAAGGTTTATTTGTTCGTGAAACCAAGCAGAAAACCTTCCAAGGGAGGTCATGGAAAGTAGGGTTTTAGAAGATGCCTTAGCCAAAACTGTGCAGAACGGACTCCACATGGGTGAACTAGAGTACCCATAAGGGCGAGGCTGTGGAGGGCACGACAGACCACCGATCATGCACATTGTAGATGGCTTCCAGCCACTAGAGAGCGGCAAATTCGTAGGGGAAGATCAAACCTGGCCCTTCCCTCGCCGAACTTCGCCGCAATTCAATCACTTGTATGGTGAAACCCCTGCCACCCCTCAACCTATCCCGTGCATTGATTCTGAAGGTCATTAGACAACTTTCTCTTTTCTTTTGCGTGTCTACTTAGTTAAGCACTGAGTATGAACTTTCTGCATCGGAAATCTCTTAGACAGGCACTAAAAGATATTTTCATCCTATCATAACATGTAATTAAGTCAGCTCGACCAGAGCTATTGACAGTTTTTCGGTGCGCAGTCACGAGCGAAGCATCATTTCGTGGAAAGTATTACGCGTAAATAGTCGTTGTAGAAGATTTATACTCACGCTCTTTTGCTTTTGAAGTGAAGAATTCCGCATTGATGACCATTTGAGCGGTCCAGTAGTTCCAGAATTTCCGCTCCTAAGTTGCCATGGAGGAATCGTGAAGGCGTAGCGGGGCTATCTTTGAAATTATCACCTTACCCTCTATTTTTTTCGGTGTCATCTCTCACCGTCTCACGTGGATTCACGGTGGATCGAGGTATCCCATGTCCCCACTTATAGCGAAATGATATATTTTACATCATTACTTATCTCCGACTATCATTCGTGTCTCCGACTATCATTCGTTTTTTATTGGCGCAATTATTTTTTTAGATTAGTTCTATTACTCGAACAACAGCCATCTGGCATTTGTGCTGTTGGTAAACGCTATTAATTTTCGAAGTTCCTCGTAATTTAAGTCTGGCAAACATATTGTTTTGCAGAGGCAGTTTTTCGAGGCTGACTGAAGCTTGAAACAATTTTCTTCGCAAATGAATGGGCCAGCTCACACTACAGCTGTAGAGCCGTACCGTTGTCGGGTCTCATGTACGAGAAGTACAGCGCTGAGGGCAGAATCCCCTAAGAAAGAACGACATGAACACGTTTTGTTCATAAGGCATCCTCGTCACACACTACGACCTACCCTCAGGGGAAGTTTTCGCTTGTTTTTTCTCAACTTTTCTTTTTCTAACATCCCGCCATAAACGAAGGCATTGGATACGGCCGAGGAGATCATATTCAATCCACTCGACTGTGAAAGACGCATATTTCTCAGTTCCTTGTGTTCGGAGGTGGTATAGTGGCAAGTGGCGTTCCACACATACGTGGCCACAGGTTCAAACTCCGGATCGGTATCCGTCTAGACCAACCAAGCCTTCCATTCCTCCGGGGTCTGGTAATTGGTACCAAACCCGACTGGGAGGATAAAAGCGCTGACTTGTGCATCGGCAGTCATTGTATAAATTGATTTAATGCCCTTCCCTTCCCCCCCCCCACCAAAGCCGTTATCCTTTAAACTTTCTATCCTTTTGTGTTCGGCTCATTAACAGCCAATGTTGTGCTTTTGAAAAGTGCCTTTTTGTTTTTCTCTCATGTCCTGTCACTAGGTTTATATAGCGATAGAGAGAATTCATATGAGCATCCCTTCGAGTTTTCCGACATTTTTTCGAGTAGACAAATGTCAGTGACGACTGCTCCTACTTATCTAGATCAATTCTGCTGACACTCATCTGTTAAATATCTCAAAACGGGTTCATAGTCGAAAAATTCTTATATTATAGTTCACGGTTTCAGCTTTGTAGATTTCCCTACTGTATGCCATTACCGCCACAGCAGATCTATTACTGCCGTATACGTAATTGCCAACGTACGTGCGGGCTCGTCCACCGGGATTCTCGAAGTGAGTGATATTTTTGAAGTGCATTCATTTTGATCGGAACTCACTAAAACAACAAAACCGTGTTTCTACAGCAGGACTCCCCTTCAAATTTCACTGGAACAGCGAAGGGGTTGCCGTAGAGGCGG